TGTTTTGTTTTACTGCATCGGAGGTAATTTCTTCGTCCAGTTTACTATCGTCAGTGAATGTTGCTGCAAGATATTTAAACTCAGATGTCTGTTTTATATCTGTGTGTCTAATGCTATATTTAAATTCTGGAATTGCTTATCCATGCTCATCATTGATATAAAGAAAATGAATTTTCAGAGACATATTGCAGCCAACTATACTTTGGAACGATTTTTCCTAACTTTTTTTGTGTCACCTTAGCCTTTCTAAAATTCTTTTTCCGCTGCGTAACATATACATAATACTTAAGATGTGAAGTTTTTTAAATTTGTTGACTGACAAATACTCCTTCTCTTATTTAAGCTTCATTCTGTCTTGGGGATTTTCTGATGATATGGGTGATAGCCTCATCTTGTTTTCCATTGCCTTGCAACTCCGGTACACAAATTATGACATCTTCTGCCAGAACATTCTACTGTTACGGTCTGGAACCCAAAAGTTCTACCTATTTTTTTTTAGTAACTTCAGATCTCTCACAAGATCAGTCTGTACACTTTGTGTTAAGTGCAGTTTTTTGTGTGGATGTAGTTTGCTCAAAATCTGGGTCACTTGAGGTTGAAGACCACCATTGCACTCTTCTTCGTCAGTGGAAGTGGCTAAAAATGATTCTAACACTTTGGAAACTAGATGCTTACGTGCAGATGGAAAGGTCGTGTGTTCGCTCCGTGGCGGAGCCGGACTTTTAAAAAGAAAAAATGATCCTGACTCCCAGGTTGACCCAGCCTTGAGTGGATACCGGGTGCAGTCGCAGGAAGTAAAGCCGGCCGGCATGATGCTGACCACATCACCCTTGTGCTGATTGGTCTATAAAAATATAGGTCTAGTCCTATGTACCCTACACACCTAAAGGTGTGGAAAAGGGACTTTTACTTTACTTTACTTTGGGAACTGGTTGGTCGTCACCATATGGTACTGGACGCATCGCAGAGGGAATGTTTAGATATTCCAGAGTCTCTTTCTTCTTCTTTGATATGCCTTTCCCAGTTGCAGGGACCATGCAAAAGTAACAGTTGTTGAGATGATCGGTGGGCTCTCTCTAAATCTTTAGGCCTGCAAAACTCATAGCTTGCTTTTTGCCAATCAGCCAGGTTTAAAATGGACTGCACGTGTTAGTTAGTTAGTTAGTCGACAGATTATCCTCATTGCATGTTGAACCACTCAGTCCATTAGTGCTCAGATCCCCTCCTCAGTAAATCCTGCAGCGTGTAGTGGCTGAGGACACCAGTTCTGTGTTGGTTTAATATTATTCTTTGGCTTCCAGTGTAGTGATCGTGTTTAGCGACACTCCGTTTAACTTTGTTCTTGGAGTCCGACCATAGTTGCATATTCAGAGTTCTCAATAGGTTCATGCAAACGTCTTAAATCTCATAGAGAATTCAGTATATCAGCCTGATCCATGGCTTGTTTGGCTTTCACAGTAGCCTTACATGCAAGTCTGTCGGCTTGCTCATTTCCTTAAACTCCCACATGTCCTGGTAAAAAAATAAAACTAATCCTTGTCAGCGGGCTGTACATCTATTATGGCATATGAGTGATCTCCTGTTCTGCAGCCAAAATAAAAACTGTTTGCATTTTTTATCATTTTGGTTATATTAGATTTTCATTTATAGAAATGTCACATCACCACAAATATAACATAAATTATTAGCATGTTCACACATGTCTTATGCATTTCTAACTACAGTACTTTAGATAGGGACTAGTGCACTAATTAATAGCAAAATTTTATCATTGATAAAGGTGATGTGATCATAGGTAGGATTAGTTAGTTAGTCTTTCCTCTTGTGTCGAGTGCGGCACATAGGGCAGAGGTCATGACTCTCCATGCATGGCGGTTCGTTGCAATCTGTTGTAGGTCTTGGATGTTTGAGTGGCCCATGAGCGAGCCTTCCCTGATGATAGTTCTACGTAGGGTTTCCCTTGGTCTTCCACTAGATTTTTTCCCCTGTGGTGTCCAAATGAGGGCTTGGTAAGGAAGTCTTGATTTATCCATTCTAAGGGCGTGGCCGACATAGTTCCAGCAACGTTTTCGTATAAAATTAGACACATACTCTGGCCTGGATTCTTGCCTTATTTGTGCATTGGTTCGGAAATCTGACCATTTGAAATTTAGTATTCTTCTAAGGCATTTTTTTTTTCAAAACTGTCTAATTTTGTGTCTAGAGTTTTCGTTGTAGGTAGGATCTCATCATCATTATTAGAAAATTATGCAGTCGCCCACAGCAGTGTGTCATGTGTATGAATCGGCCGTAACTGAATAAATTAGTAGCATATGTCTTGAAAACTAGAGCCAATCAACATTTTTGAAATTTCATTTTCAGAATTAGTTAAAATCAGCTATTTTCATTTCTGAAACATTTCGGTTGTTGACTAGTGTTACAAGTCATTGGCATTGTTTTTTTCTAGGTCACTGGGGCAAAAGGGTTAAGATATAGATGATGACTTTTCTAGTACCACACTGGTTGTTCACACATCCTAATTTACAGTCTTCCACATGTTGTTTCAACTACTATTGGATCTACCATCAGCATTGATTCATATATGGTATTTAGACCATATATTTCTGTCTGTCTGCTTTTGTATTTGGAAAATCTGTTGTTTCATTTAATCACATCCTAAACAGTATACTATATCCATATGAGGCCCTGTAATGTCAGTTGCTGATGCTTGGTATCCTCTCAGGCTCTATTTGTCCTGTTTAAACTTTCCCATGAAAGTACAAGATACACTCATCTTTGAAACCATGATGCCTCTGGAAATGTCAGCACTGCATAGTTCTGTCTTTCTGGCACTTCTGTTGTCATCTTAGATAAAACCTGGTGTGTAGTGAAGTCAGTCCTCTGGATTTTAACCCTGTCATCCAAGAAGCTGCAAAACTGGAGTCTTCCGATTGGGTCCAGTTCCATGTAAATGTCACTTTTCCAGCTTGCCTTCACTGACATATTTATGAGATGCTTGGTTATTCTCTTGGCTGAGTTCAGGCCTACTCAATCATTAACCCTTTCGCTGCTATGGACGTCTTTTCCCGATTTCCCGTACGCTGCTACGCCCGTCTTTGGACGTTATTTTGTTTCTTGACCCCCAGTGCTATGGACGCCCTAAGCCGTTTTTGGACTTTTCTTACAGATTTGTTACCTCGTATTTTATTGGCTGAAGGGCAATATACATTAACTATATTTAGATTAAACTGACCCATTTACATATGATTAAAAGCACTGGCACGTACTTTTAGGTGTGTTTACTGCATTCTGCGTTATCCCGTTGCTTTGTTTACTGTGACAGCGTGGTCGGTGATCTGTGTATTTTGTGCCCTGATATATATTTGTGCTTTTGTATTATTCTACACTTAGTACAAAATGGCAAGAAAACTTGTTAAAGTTGATGAAGAATTGATGGAGTTTCTGTCAAGAAGTGATAGCGAAGATGACTTTGAAATGTTTACTTCTGACAGTGAACAAAAAGATTTGACTAGGCCATCAATATCGACTGCTGAAACCGTCGTGTCCAAAAAAAAGCTGTTTGCCTGTCCGACGTCCTCATTGTCGGAATCAGAGAGCAGCGACAATGAAGCGCCATCAAAACGGCAATAAATTGATCAGTTGTCTTTATGAACCGATGATTTGAAACCTGTAGTGTATAATTGTGATGACTCCAGCTCTGGCTGTATTTCAGCTACTGTAAATTCAAACAGTTCAGTCACTAAAAATTCTCGTCTTTCCCGATGGACAGACACAGATTCGGACGAATTTTTTTTTTTTTTTTTTTTTTGCTGTCTGTCTGCTAATGCTTAGAACAAAGAAACTCAAAATAGAGTACTTGAGCAAAGACTGTTTGCTAAAAACTCCCGTGAAATAATGTCGTCGGTGGACATATTTTTACTATTGTTGAGAATCTCAGACAACAGTGCTCATGCAGGCGGCGATAGACTACAAGCTTAGGCACGTTATTGATAGTCTGCGTACATCAGTGATTATTATCATTCACACAGCAAAATATGTCAAGCGGTAGTATAGTGTAGTTGGTATCACGTTCGCCTTAGAATCAGAGGGTCGTGTGTTCAACCCCCGAAGTCGTGTTTTTTTTTTTTTTTTTTTTTTTTTTTTAAATTATTGTAAATTTTCCTTTCAGTTCCTGCTACTTTTCATCAACGGACGACTCAAGTATTATTATTAAATTTTTTATTATTTTGGTATTTAATAACATGGTGACCTCAAATAACTATGATTAAAGTGGCAGCCGTGGTAGGTTCGTCAATCAAATTTTGGGATACGGACAGGGAACAGTTCTTCCCATTAACCCCCCCCCCCCCCCCACACCCAGTTAGTCAAGTTTGTGGGCCACCATCGTGCCTCTGACTTGTCACCACTCGGACCAACCACACAACTCCCCAGGGTAAAATTTTTTGGGTGTACAAAATATAGCCCTCACCGCCGACGCATCTCTTGCGTTTGGAGGATAGAAAAGTATTGCGCACAGCAAAGACTTTTTTTTTTACATTGCTTAGCACAGGGCAGACAGCTATTTCCGGGAACGTAGCAGCTAAGGGGTTAAGGAGATCAGGTAATGAATATATTAGCTAAAAATATCTTTTAGGGGATGTTTTCCTATGAATAAAGAATCTTTTAAAACCAAATTTTCAGCTTTTCCCGTAAGCCTCAGTGATAGATCACAGTGTCATAGCATGATTCACTTGATACATAGTTTTTTTTAGGCCCTGGGTATGTAATCAGTTTAATGCTTCACTCAGTTTGTGTTTATTGATAACTCCTTTTATACATCTTTATATATTTCATTTTTGATTTTGATGTAGAGATAAATACATGTAAAAAAAAATATAAATAATTGACCTGTGTAACATTTTTTTTTTTTTTTAAATTCCCATAGGGTCCTGACCCATTTTTTCCTCCTGTGTTAACGGGGTGAACTTTTAACGCACATTGACATTTGCAGGGCTGATAGAATGTGGAAAGCTGCTGCGGGTAGGGATGTTAAAGTGAAAGCACCCCCATCAAATGGGGAGGCAGATGACTGGGAAACTGATCCAGATTTTGTGGTGAGTTGAGTATATTTTGTCGTTTTTTCCTTTGCTGATCTTTTTCTGTTTTAAAAAAAAAATATTTTTATATCGTTTTCAGGATTTCACAAACCAACCCAACATTTATTGACTATCATTTTTTATGTAATTTTGTGTGTTTGTGTGTGTGTTCAGTAGTTTGCCATTTACCATAAATCTTACAATGAATCTTTGGATCTATCAAATATGCAAATGGCGGGGAATGGAGAGTGACAAGGAACAACAAAATTCATAATCTGTACCAACTGGAAAGTTAGGACTAATCACAGAGATGAATGGAGGCAGGTGATAATCTGCAGCATTTAACCTCAAGGAAAGAACCTGAAAAAGAAGTTTGCCATTTCTTTTTCAATAGTACAACACTCAAACCATACCAGAATCAATGCAAAGCAGTCTTGTATTAAATTGGCTGCAGCTGACTTCAAATTCTGTTATGTCAGGATTGTGAAATTGCTTTTACAACCCTATTATAAGGTATGTGTTGCAGTTTCTATGAGAATGCCTTGGTTGGCAAAGGAATGTTTGTTATATTTTATGCACAGTGAATACTTTTTCTGCTTTCATTCTAAAAGAGCAGCTGACACTGTGTTGTGGTTTACAGCTAGCTTGTGATATCTGTGCTGTTCGGCTTAAAATATCTGATTTCAGCAAACTTGTAATTAGTTTCCCTTTGTTACCATTTTGTTGAGGGGCAATGGGCGTTTGTTAGTGGGGTATGGGTCTTGTCTTCCCTCTCCCAAAATGGGGAACCTCCGGAACCCACATGAAAGAAAACAAAAGTCAGTAGAAGCTTTCATGACACTGGGTCTGAAGATTTACATTTGAGAGAATCAACATCATTGCACTAGGTTTTATCCCATATGACTTTCCCTTGTGGGTTCCGTAGGTTCCTCATTTTGGGAGATAAAAAACCAAAACAGACCCCCGTGAGCACGTTGTAAATGCAACTAGGTGTGTTTGCTTTGAAGTCAGAGTGTGTCTGCCTGAGTGGTGAGGAAAATAAAGAAACAATCTACATACAAGTATGCCAGATCTTTAAAATGGATGTACATGTACAACTCAGGTTCTAGAACTAATCTAGAAGTGGATGAACGATTAAAACTTTCTGCCAGAGTTAACAACCTGTAAACGCTAAGAACAAGAAAACAAGACTTCAAATCATGTTCTCAGGATTGTGAAACTGTATTTATAACTCCTAAGCCTCTGTAGGTATGTTAATAACCCCCCCCCTCTCCCTCCCCCCAAAAAATCATTATGAAGGACAATTGTGTGTTCATGACAAAAATCCCTGGCGGAAAATTCATTTTCAATCAAGAGTAAAGCCCCAGTGAAAGGCAGATTTCCTTTTTGTTTTTTTCTGTCTGCTACGAAAAAACGGCTCATCAGAGTATTGAGAGACAGAGAGAGCCTCAAAACAGTCATGATTTAAAAAAAAAATGTGTCAGAATACTACCGGCTGTATAACCCTCTGAATCTGGTAAATGTCTTATGAAACTGTCATCTACACGGAAGTACAATGTATCAAATGTCTATAACATGCACAAGAAGCGAATTACTTGAGTTGAGTTTACTTCCCAAGGCATTTTCTGGATCAGATTTAGGCTTGGTTGACCAGGAAATCTTATATTACTTTTAAAAATAAATCACCATGTTAAATCCAACATCTTGTAGCCGGAAGTTAAGCATATATCCACAGTGCTTTCACGTGCGCGCGCACACACACACACCCCACCAACCACCCACTTTCTTCTTCTTCTTCTTCTTCTTCTTCTTCTTCTTCTTCTTCTTCTTCTTCTTTTTCTAGGTTCCTAGTTCTTGAGGTTTATTGCTGTAGGTATCAACCACCTCCATTTATCTCTGTGACTGGCCTTCTCTTTCCAGTTGGTGTTTGTAGGGCTGCTTTATATTTCATATCTGCATCGTGATCTATTTTCATTGAACTCTTTTATGTATTTTTTTTGTTGAAAAGGAGGGGGGGGGGTCTCTCTGATATCTGCCATTCTCTCTATATGCCCCAACCATTGCTGGCAGACATAAATACATACTTATGTACATACAGATACACACACACACATATATTATTGATATACTTCTCATACTTCTCAGAATGATGTTTCTGAAGAGGAACAAAGATGGGGAGCCAAAACTGTGGAAGGATCTGGACACCATGGATCAGTAAAGTAAGTTTTGTTTGTTGTATTAATTTTCAGTGAAGTAAGATTTCTTGTTGTGTTAAGTTTTATAGAAAATGAGATTTCTTCATTATATTATGGTTTACTGACTTACGTAATTCCTCTATAGTGTTCACACTTCTGCAAGTCAAATTTTTTGGACTACTTCATAATATATCTTTCTCTGCAATGTACTGGTATTTCTTTGGTCTTCCAGTCTTTACTGAATTAATTCCTGTAGCAGTTCCATAAATTTGTATATATTGCCTTATTAATTTTGTGCTCGAATATCATCTGGACCAGCAGCCTTCCCTTCCTTCCGGAGATTGAAAGCTTTCCTTTCTGAAGGCTGGGGGGGGGGCGCATGGCTTAGAGCTCCCCCTGGGGCTGTACGGGGGACAGTAACTGCGTGAATCAAATTTAGGTGGCGCTGAGCCTGTTCAAAGGGATGCTAGTGACCTCAGGTGCAGTTAGCAGGGGTATTGAATAAAAATAATGCCACGTTAGAGAGAGAGAGAGCAAGAGACACATTTTGATAAAATATTGGTACCTTTTCAGTGAAGTGTAACAGATCAAAGCTAATTACATTGTAAATTTAAGGTTCAGGTAGAGTGTTATGCGCAAGAAAATGAAAACTGAGCAGCTGGGGAGAAGTTTGATGAACAGCTGGGGAGAAGTTTGATAAGCAGCTGGGGAGGAGTTTGATGAGCAGCTGGGGAGAAGTTTGGTGAGCAGCTGGGGAGAAGTTTGATAAGCAGCTGGGGAGAAGTTTGATGAGCAGCTGGGGAGAAGTTTGATAAGCAGCTGGGGAGAAGTTTGATAAGCAGCTGGGGAGAAGTTTGATAAGCAGCTGGGGAGAAGTTTGATAAGCAGCTGGGGAGAAGTTTGATAAGCAGCTGGGGAGAAGTTTGATAAGCAGCTGGGGAGAAGTTTGATGAGCAGCTGGGGAGAAGTTTGATGAGCAGCTGGGGAGAAGTTTGATGAGCAGCTGGGGAGAAGTTTGATAAGCAGCTGGGGAGGAGTTTGATGAGCAGCTGGGGAGGAGTTTGATGAGCAGCTGGGGAGAAGTTTGATGAGCAGCTGGGGAGAAGTTTGATGAGCAGCTTAGGAGAAGTTTGATGAGTAGCTGGGGAGAAGTTCGATGTAGATGTGAAAATGGGTGGGAATGTTACATGTAGGCCTAATATTTCGAATAAGCAGCGCTATGTTTTTCATTATTGTTTTTCAGTGTAAATACTGCCACCTATACATGCCTAAATATAGTATATCATAATCAATCAAGCTCATCCTTCTCATTAACATTAATTTAAATGTTGGGTTTTGTTTGAGTATTTCCATACTTTCGACACTGAGTGGAAGGAGGATCTCAGCTGAAATTTCTAGAAGCAGCAGTTACAGCATGTATTTTTTAAATAAGAAACTTTCTGGGCTAGCGCTTGGGTAGGATTTCAATAGACAGCTTTTTCAATAAAGCTGATACACAAACATTCATGCACGGGCATACTACACATAGAGTTACTTTTCATTGCTATACTTCTCTAATTCCTAGTTAAGCTTTCATTGTTCTGTTCTGAATTTTATGATAATTAAAAATGTGCATATTCCCTGCAGCCTGAAACAGTTGAGGGAACAAGTGTCAGTTGAGGACAAAGAATATAAGCACAAACAGTATGAGTCTGGTCCCAAGGCATCGGAAGGTTATGGAGGCAAGTTTGGTGTGCAGAAGGACCGCATGGACAAGGTGAATTGTATTTTGAATTTTGGTAATGACTCAAATAATACAGGGTTATTCAAAATGATGGATACACTTTCATTCATATATGTTTCCTTGAATATGCATAACATATTAAAAATATTCATACAAGAGAGAAAGAAAGGTCAAAAGTTTCGGTTACCACCTCTACCAAAAAACTGGCTGATCTTCACAACCATATCACAGCTGTAGTGAACTCACTTATGAAAAAGATGCTTCTTCATGTGTGGGATGAGTCTGGCTGCAGCTTAGTTAGATCTTTGCAAAGCAGCAGGTTGTGGCCATATTAAACATCTGTAACCTCTGTCGTAAGTTGGTAAACTCTGGACCTTCACCTCTCTCTTGTGTATATATTATTAATGTATATTGAAGGTAATATACCTGAATGAAAGTGTATCCATCATTTTGAATAACCCCGTGAATTGCCTTTCATATTTAATTGTATCTCATCATTCAAATTGTTATAGACTTTTCATCAACATTCATTGAAGCATGGTAACAATGACTTTTAATTAACTGAAATACCCAATCAGTCTCATGTGACACTAACAAAAGATCACATGGTTAATCTTAGACCTCCCTGATAAGCATTGTATCTAGTACAGAAGTGTGGACAATAAACGAATAATAGAAGTTTGAACCAAGGCCCTGGAGATGTTGATTGTGGTGAAGCATTTGTTGTATTTCATGTAAACAAAAACAGCCAAATACAGATGTTTTGAAGAGACTGGGAATAAAAAGAGCGGTGCTGAAAGAAATAAAACACAGGTTATTAAACATTTTGGCCATATTAATAGACCTAGCAGTTTTTAAGGGCTTTGTAAATAATTTCCTGATTTATGGAAAATAAATCAAGGATAGTTGGCAGATTAGTGAATAAATTATGTGGAAGTGACAGAAATTTGGTTTTATAGATGAATGATGTGAACACTCTGGACAGATGACAGGGTTAATGATAATGTCTTGAAAGAGACTGACTCATGAAGAGAACTGATTGCCCACATCAGAATCAGATAATCTACATTGTTTGGTAGTGTCAGGAGAAGGTAAAAACTAGTACATCATGATGGTGGGAATGTTGGAGGGGGGAAAAAGGCAAACTAAGGAAGAAGATACTGGACAGTTTGACATCATGGCATGGAAGATCATCTGTGTTAGAATTAATTGAAAGTACCTGACAGAGGGTTGTGGATAAACATGACTACCAGTGCTGCATGGCATGGACTCTAAGAAGAAGAATAGACAAAACACTGACATATAAACTGTACTGGAGCGAGAAGTTTAAGGGAAACAAGCAAGAGGTAGACAGTGATACAGGTGGGAAGTTAACAACAAAAGATGATCAGTTAAAATCCTGAGAGTGTACAACCAGGCCGAGAGAGATAATCTTGTTGCAAATCTTTATTCTGGAGTTAGCACTTAATTGATCGATTGTGTAGACAGTATCTGATTCTACTCCTTCTTCTTAGCCGGCTGTAAAATTGGGGACAGTATCTGATTCTACTCCTTCTTCTTCTTAGCCGGCTTTAAACTTGATTGATTGTGGGGACAGTATCTGATTCTCCTTCTTCTTCTTAGCTGTCTGTAAATATGATCGATTGTGGGGACAGTATCTGATTCTACTCCTTCTTCTTCTTAGCCGGCTGTAAACTTGATTGATTGTGGGGACAGTATCTGTTTATCTTTTCTTCTTAGCTGACTAAACTTTGGCAGAAAGTTCTGGTTGTTTGTCCTCTTCTGGACGAACAATTTACTCCAGAACTTGAGCACATCTGTTTTACGGGTCAGGCTTATTTGTATGCAGACAGTTAGGCCTTACCTTTCAGGCAGCTGCACTCCAGCTCTGAAGGAAACACCTCTGTTTAGTGGGATTGTATGACATTCTGTGGGTGGGAGAGATAGAAGTAAGTCTGTTCTTCGGGATAGCACTTAAATGATTGTGAAGGTGGGACCTGATTAACTGATTATTTAATTATTCAATTTATTTGTCGATTAGTGTATTACAAAGTCTGACCTACAACAAGTTCGTAATATCCCACATTTCTGTTGTTGCAGTCAGCAGTTGGACACGACTACCACGAAGATTTAGCCACACACGCCAGCCAGACAGATGTCAAGAAAGGATTTGGTGGAAAGTTTGGTGTTCAGACAGACAGAGTAGACAAGGCATGTTTTTCATATACACTTGTCACTCCTCCTCTACCCACTACTCTCTCTTTCTCCTACTCCTTCTGCAGCTATTCTGTCCCAGCCTAATATTTACTTTGAAATCCAACCAGTCATGAGCAAATCTACAAAGAATGGTTGAGAGCTTGTGCTCCTCTGGGAGATGTTTGTGTTTGTCAAGTCAGTATGTGAATTTATGATTCATTTATGCTTGTATTGCCTATGCTGTACAAATCACTATGTGTATTTATGATATGTTTGCTTGTACTGTCTGTATTGTTCAAGTCAGTATGTACATTTATGCATGTATTGTTTGTGCTGTTACAGACAATATGTGTATTTAGAATTTATTTATGCTTGTACTGTCTGTGTTGTTGAAGTCACAATTTGTATTTATGATAAATTTGTATCTTTAATGTCTATCCTGTCCAAGTCAGTTTATGATTTATTTATGCCGGTATTGTTTATGCTGTTCAGATCAACATGTTTATGATATATTTATGCTGTTCAGATCAACATGTTTATGCTTGTTTGTATTAATTGGACTGGCCATGTCAATGTGTGCATTTATATATTCATGTATTATTCATCTCAGGACCATCTCAGGTAATTACATATAATTTTCATTTATCCATCATTGCATTACCTGGTTTAGCAAAACATGTTTAATAAAATGGAAATTCATAGTGTATTTTATAAAGCTCTTGTTTAAAATACACCAAAGTTTTCCTGGGCATTATGAGTAAAACTGATGCGTAATATCTGTGCACAGTTTTACGGTGTTGGTTTTACTCTAAATTGTAGCATGCAAATGAATCTCAGGATTTTTAGCTCAGAATTCCCAGCTAGGCCTGTAACCACTTAATCCTGTTAATACCCACCTAATTTTGGAAAGATTTTTAGGCTTGAAAACTACTTATACTCCACACTTGACAGTGTATTACAGTAAAAACCTTGTCATTACAAATTCCCTGGGGGGGGGGGGGGAATCCAATGTTTTGTATATAAAAACAAATTCTGTTCACCGGGTACTCATGAATAATACATGCCTGCAGGGACCTAGATCGTGACCGAGTATTCTTTCTAAACGTGTTCATATTAACCAGGTTTTACTGTATATTAGTACCTATATTGTTAATATTTTGGAACGTGGCTGGGACCAATTTTTCCTCTTGTCTCCTACAGTCTGCTGTAGGATTTGACTATGAAGGTAAAGTGGACAAGCACGAATCACAAAAAGGTGAGAGTTCTCCTAATAACTTTTGGTTGAAGTTGGTGCTGTCTTAAATCTTCATTTTAGTTTGCTGTAGTAAAGCTCAGTTTAGTACTACATTTAAGCTATTTCATTTAAGTACAATGTCAGTATAGTTCATTTTAGTATTGTTCATTTTAATTGATCTCAGGTCAGTAGCTTATGTCAATTCATTTGAGTACAGTTGATTTCAGTACAGTTAATTTCATTATAGCTAATTTTACAGCAGGTCATGTCAGTGCAGCTCATTTCAGAACAGCAGTTCATTTCAGAACAGCAACTCATTTCAGTGCAGTAGTTCATTTAAGTACAACTCATTTCAGTATTTGGTTCAACCCAAGTTCAGCAAAACTGATCTCCATAAAGTTAAATTTCTTTCAGTACTTTTAAGTTCATTTCAGTTTATTTTATTTCAGTATTTGGTTCCTAATATTTATTTATGTCTTTAGAGATAGTCTCTTTGATTGATTTCACTTTTGGTGATTGTTTGTATCAAGGATGATCCATTGTCTCTGTGATTTTGTGTGTGTTTGGACACAGATTACAGCAAAGGTTTTGGTGGGAAGTTTGGCATCCAGAAAGATCGCGTGGATAAGTCTGCAGTTGGGTTTGAATACAAGGAAAATGTGCCAAAACACGAGTCACAGACAGGTGAGTGATATTTTGTTGTTCCCACCAGCTAATTAATGTTAAAAATATCAACACACAAGTCACAGACAGGTGAGTGACACTTTGTTGTTTCAGCCAGGTAATCAGTATTAACGGTAATGAAACATGAATCCTAGACAGGTGAGTGACACTTTGTTTCAGCCAGGTTACCTATGATGAGGCCCAAGAGCCATTACTACCGTTGGGGTGTGAAGCGAGAGAGGCAGAGGAAGCTAGAAAAAGCTGTTTGTGCAAAGCTTAAATATTTAGACAACAGATAATATAGGCAAAACACATTCATCAGAAAATTACTACACACACTGTGTACACTATGACACATTCTAGGCCCCTGGCATAGACAGGGGTGGTACCAGTTCTTTTTAATAATCACGTTTCCTTTCCAGGCATCAGCTGTTTCTTCACAGAATTGCAGTCATCAAGGCAAACCTGAAAGTCTTGTCTTTCTCTAGCCAATTCTTCAGCCCTATGTGCCTTCATGTGCATCTTCAGTGTCTTGTATTCGACTTTGTGGAGGTTGACTTCTGCCACATTTTTTGGAAACTAACTATTAGGCCACCTTGATTTTTAACATGGCCAACATACCTCAGCTTCCCAGTCATAGTGCTGTTGATAAGTCAGTTCTCCTCAATGTTCAGATCATATAAGATGGTGATGTTTCTCTACTAATTATCAGCATGCGTGTTATTTCAAAAGCTCTGATTTGTTTTCTTTAAAGATTGAGTAAGAGTCAGTGACCACATCCATAAGTTGTCACAGTAAAGACAGTTCCCAGAATATTTTCTGATGCTCATTTTGAGAGGTTGGGTCAATTCTCATTAGCAATCATTTGTTTTCAGTCAGGGTATCAGGAAGATGATGAACAGATGGGAAAAGAATATCACCTTGAGGGTGACCATGTAAAGGACTCAAGTTGACACTTTAGGTTTTTCCAAATAGTGGAAAACAGTTTGGCAGTTCCTTGTATACTGGGCCAGATTTTGTTAGTATGCTCGTACATAACATAAGTAAAAACACATGCTTTCTTGCTTTTACTGGCTGTATAGCTCTGGTTGTTTACTTCTCCACTTTGGTCTTGTTCCAGAACTTGAGTACTGTGTGCATATCCATTTTACAGCTTATTTGTGTGCAGATAATTGGTACCTTGCTTCTCAAATGCAGTCTGACTTAAAAAGAAATGTAACTTCTTTCTACTTTGGCCAGACCCCGGTTGGAAACCTGTTTTTATGATGACCACAGAGAAGGGGTAAGTAGGTCTTAACTCAAGGAACGCATTATACGTTGATAGGTTCCTACCTAGAAGCCCAGTGAACGCAAGATGCACCAATTTTACACCTCTCCTCACTATCCCTTGGGTCTCTGATGCCAAACCCCCGGGACTGAAAAAGTTAACCAGGATAAGCCCAGGTCCTCATGCACCACTGTGTAGGGTGCAGCACTTCTAATCCCATAATGCAAGCTTTGTTTGATACACGTGGACATTGGCATCTGTTTTATTGTGATCCATGTTGTCTTACATCTGTGTGCAGACTACAGCAAAGGTTTTGGCGGGAAGTTTGGTGTCCAGCAGGACCGTCAGGACAAAGCGGCTGTGGGCTGGGACTATGAAGGAAAGACAGAGAAGCATGCCTCACAAACAGGTATTTAATTACACCTCTTTACTCAGGCAATGATCGAGACATTTGTTGCTCTAGATTCACAAGTTTGTGTGATGTAGAATTTTGTATGGTTTTGTTGTGTGGAACGGTTAGTTGACTGTTCTCTTTGTTAAAAAATAACTATTTGAGTTTTGAAAAATCTCACTAATTTGTGTTTTTAAAAAATAACTGGGCTATCCTCCGACTAACGGTCGGTAAAGATGGCGGCTGCAAAATATCCTTTCGAGCCACAGTCACGTGTCAATTGCACACTAGCGTTCACGAGCACACCGCGGCTGCTGCCCGTGAGGCCTAGCCATCTAGTTTAGTCCTATTCCACGTCCCGTGAGCGGCGTGGGGGACACGTGGCGGTAGTCGCCGGCGCAATTGACACTTGACTGTGGCTCGAAAGGATATTTTGCAGTCGCCATCTTTACCGACCGTTAGTCGGAGGATAGCCAAAAACTGTTTTGGTGTATTAATAAATAAACTTGAATGCTTTAAAAAAACTTATTTAAATGTATTTGCAAAAACACTTGATTTGTGTTAAGCAATAACTAATTTGGGTGTTGAAAATCAATAGTTGTGTGTGTTGACAGATGCTACTACAAATGTGTGCATGTTAACAAATAACTAATTTGTGTGTTTTTAAACTAACGAGGATTTGGTAGACTGAATTACTAATTTGTGTGATTTGAAACTAATGAAGATTTGTAGAGTCCCTTGTCTTATCATTTTATTATCTTATTATTGAGACTGTTTTTTCTGATGCAAGGTTCCAATGATAATTTCCTATACTTGTTATCATATTTTTTTTATTACTGAGAGAGATTAACTGTTTTTTTTCTGGTGCACAGCTCCAGAGAGAGTTTGCTACACCTTATCTTATTTTCTCCCCCCCCCCCCCCCCTTCCCACCCCCTCCCCTGGAAAAAAATCAGTGGCTTTGCAGAGAATTTGAACCTAGGTCTCCCATTGCTGAGACAAACAGTGCTTTCCTTATGTCTGCCCTAATCATGCTTTCTTAGTGTCAAAATAAAAGCAGGGTTTGCTAGTCTCCCTTAACTTTATCATCATCTTATTACTGAGGACTAGAAGTACTTTCATGGTAGTGAGGGTAATTTAGTCTCCCCTGTCTTGTTGTTTAATTAATGTTGCTAATAGTACTTCCCTTGTGTCAGACTCCACCAAAGGTTTTGGTGGCAAGTTTGGGGTTCAGACGGAGCTTATGGACAAGTCAGCCGTTGGGTACGAACACCAGGAACAGTTGCAGAAACATGAGTCTCAAACAGGTGTGTCTTATGATTTCTGCACTGATTTTCATGTAATAATCACCATGTGTCAAAAATTAGGTTTGACTACAGCCAAGGTGATAGCATAAATACAATTATGACATCATCTACGACTAGAAAGCTTAGGTGAGGGAAAGAAGAAATGTACAAATGCAACTGAAACTTGAACCATCCACCCGTGCAACAAGCCAGATTTTAAAAACGGCAGCACTCAGATCGTGACATTAGATCACAGCTCAGACATAGATAACGGGCAATCAGCCAGGACTAACCTTTGAAGTTCACAGCCAGCAAACAGAAGAGAAGTAAATAACCAGATTTATTATCAACAGACAACACAGCAGAATCATAGGTGCTTTCTTAATATCCTACCCCAAAAAGGGAAAATCCACAGGTCATGGGACAGTCTAATATTTCAAGGGGTGGTAGACAGGCTGAATGCAGTCGTGGGACCTAGGTTGCACTCTCTCATGGGACGTAGGTGGGTTGGGGGGCCAGTTCTAGATGCTTTAGGGTCGTTAAAAGCATCAGAAAGCCAGGAAAAACAGTCTTACCGCCCTCTAAAATGTTGGACTGTCCTGTGACGTCATCTAAGGGTAGGATATTACGAAATAACTGAATCATAAACAATTAAGAACGTCACATATAAATAGAAATATGTAAAAGCTATTCCATTTTTAGCCTTAATTTTTTAACATGTCAGGTGTCCTGTGTTGAGATATCCCTTTTGATGTGTTTCCATCTTGTTATGGTAGAGGGGTTTGTGATTTCCAGTGAGCCCATGTATGTCAGTGGTTGGTTAGTTACTGGTAGTGTCTCCAACACCAGACAGGTCTAGGGGATCGTTAAAGACTGAGGTCAGCAATTTTGAGAAAAATGCTTGTCAAAAATGGATGTTCTGAGCCAGAGACTGGATAGAATAGTTCAAAGTAATTTTTATTTTGATCTTTTTCTTCTTGATCTCTCTGCCAGTGATTTTCAGATGAGAAGGCTGAGTCCTCGGTGAAGGCTATGGTGTGATGCATGCTAACTGGTCAAGCGTGGGATCTCTTTACTGCATGTAGGGTGCATGTCTGCAGCATATATTCAGTATTCTGGGGTGCCTGTACGCATGAGCAAAGTTCTGAATCCATAGTCTTGAATTTCTGAGCTTATAAGTGCGGAGTCTGTGAATGTTCAGTTCACAATTTTAGTCACCTCTTATGACATGGTCTGATAGTTTAGCTTCAAAAACTTGTTACACCGCTGGTGTAAAAAGGGTCTTTCACTTACTTACTAGGGAACAATCGACTTTGCAGTCACATGAACACAAAATGTAAGGCTCGTGAATCAGCCATGTGTACATGTGGATTGGAACCTGAGGCAACAGATCATGTCTGAAGCCAAAATTTACGGGTCACTGAGTGAATTACTAAAGGCAGTGAAGTTCAAACATTGCAGATATAGATAATCCATTTTAAACGAATGAAAGAAGAAGAAGATGAACTTACTTACTGATAGGCTGTCATGCTTCTCTTTGTTTACTCTCCCTATGTTGAATATGTTATTGTGTCATCACATTATTAACAAGACTAAAATACATCTCTTTGTTTTAGATTCCAGTAAAGGTTTTGGTGGAAAGTTTGGAGTCCAGAAAGAGCTCATGGACAAGTCAGCTGTTGGGTATGAACATCAAGAGAAGCTGCAGAAACATGAGTCCCAAACAGGTGTGTCCATATTGACATTTTGTTGAACATTTTAATTACTAACTTGCAGAGAAATATTAGAATGTCAAGAAATTTTAAATAGTGCATAGCTTCTGGGCACGAGATTGAGGCCTCATTACATAGCATTGCCACTACAAATGTTGGGGCCTCACTGCGTAATGTTCTTACTACAGAGATTAGTGCCTGACTGTGTGGGGTTACCACTATAGAGTTTTGGGACCTCACTGCATAATATTTCTACTACAGAGATTGGAGCCTCACAGCATACTATTTCTACTTCAGAGTTTGGGGGCCTCACAGCATACTATTTCTACTTCAGAGTTTAGGGGCCTCACTGCATACTATTCCCACTTCAGAGATTGGGGCCTCACTGCATACTATTCCAACTTCAGAGATTGGGGCCTCACTGCATACTATTCCCACTTCAGAGATTGGGGCCTCACTGCATACTATTCCAACTTCAGAGATTGGGGCCTCACTGCATACTATTCCTACAACAGAGATTGGGGCCTCACTGCATAATATTCCCAATAGAGGATAGTGGCCTCACTGCATATTTTGTTTTTTTATTATATACCTAGTATATATCTCAAGGTGTGGATAAAGGGCCTTTACTTATGTTAAATATTTGTCACTGTTACACTAGTGTAGTGCCTCCTTTGTTGGGCTCCTGAGCACTGTTTGGGGAAGAGAGTCTAGACTTACTGTTCATTACCAAGCATGTTGTAAAAGGCTTTTGCTGAAATTGGATGTGTAGGGCTGAAAGGCGCAGATTCTGCAGCCCAGCTGCAAAAAACAGTGCGCCAGCCACAGTTTTTTCAACCCATTCGCTCTGAGATGCCGCTAATTTCCTGCCACTGTCTGTTATGAATTCTAATTTCCTGCCACTGTCTGTTATGAATTCCTGAGAAAGTCGCTGAAGTGGCATTGTCCCTTTGCCATTAGTACTTGTGCCCCTGCTTAGTGTTTAGGAAGATTATATGTGATTATATATGCTAAAAAAAAAAAGTTATAAGAAAAAGGGCATATTGTAGGGAAAGAAGGCTTTTCCTGAGCAAACTGATGGGGTGACAGGATCTTGGTATCAGTCACCATATACATTTTTTTTCAAAGGCCTAGGGGAATCTACCCCATTTAAATCCCCATGATGTTCATGTTAATTACTCCCCTTTCAAAATTTTTTTAATGCACAATAAATAGGAGAATAATTGTTTTGTTTACTGACCTGTATAAAATAGTTTTTGTTTAACATTTTTTTTTTAAAGAAAATTCAGAGCCTGGGTTTAGAGCCTTGTTTTTTGCCTAAGGATTTTTGGGGGTGAAAGGTTGAAGGTTAAATACAGAAGAAGTATAGTACAGTTCTATATTTTCCCCCATCAAAACACTATACTGACAATCATAAGACTAAACCGACAATCACAACACTAAACTGACCTCAACACTCTTTGATAGTAAATAAATGTGTAATATGCCTGTTTGTACACTTGGCAGACTATTCAAAAGGTTTTGGTGGGAAGTTTGGTGTCCAGAAAGAAAGTCAGGACAAGTCAGCTTTAGGCTACAGTGCTGACACACATGTAGAGTTGCATCCATCGCAGACTGACATGAAGAAAGGATTTGGTGGCAAGTTTGGGGTTGAACAGGACAGGCGTGACAAGGTAAGCGAGAGAAGGTAGTTGCATTTCCTGAAAATAACATAGTTTACTGTCAGTAATCTGCCATTCTTTTTGAACTATTTAACACTCAAAAGATCAATTTAAAGCCCCCTGCTGCCATATGACCCGCAGCTGGCTATAATATCTAGTATGCTGCTTGAAATGTTTTTCTCCTGAGGGAGTGAAGAACTGTCATCACAGCACTGCAGGACATTCCCACACGTACTCCATCTCCTTCTTTGGTAGCCAATGAAGAGTACATATACTGATGGATGGTGCTAGTGGCAGTTTGATTAGAACTCTATATTTTTCCTGTGCCTCGAGTGTTGTGGAAATCTTCCGGCTGCAGAGGTGCTGAACTACATGCTGTAGTGCACCAGTATCAGAAGTCACACTGGTCTAAACCTTACCATCTCTGCTGACTGGTAAATTAGATTGTGCCATATGGAGGCGTGGAAGTCACAGCCTATGGCCATGAGTGTGACTAGCAAGACCAGCCCACTTTGAGAAAAGAAGCTTGGCATTCAGAAAAATGTAGCAGAGTTTGTAGCCAAGAATATGGTAATTGAAGAGTGCATATATATTCAGACTGAAGTAACAGTTACATTTACAGTGAAGTGTAAATAGGTTTAAAAAGTAAAATCCATGATTTGTTGTTGTTGTTAACAGACTCCAAGGTTAGCAAGTGATGACTTTAATAACAAATAATGACCTTAATGTTAGGAAATGCTGCCTTTTCTGGTATGATGACTTTGATGTAAAAAAAAAATAGTACTTTTTAATGTTAACTCATCCACAGTCTGCTGGCTCCTTTGATGATATGGAAGAGGTGAAGTCTGGCTACAATAAGCCAAAACCAGAAGGAAGTAAGTAGCACTTCAGCACAGAGCAAAGTAATGGATTATGTTACTTTTTGTGTGTGTGTGGGTGTGCAGTGAGTAAGGGCAACACCTAAAATATGGCTGTATATTTTTGCAACCACTGGGTTATGTACAATATATTTTAATTATGTTTTGTCATTTTTTATTTATTTTTTATTTTGCATCGTTTCCTTTGTGTTACCAGCTGTATACTCTGGCAGAATATTCTGATTGTTGATTCACATCTGGACTTTAATCTTGTTCCAGTATTTGAGTTTTACATATCTGGCTTATTTGTATGCAGGCGGTTGATTACTTGCCTGTACTGCCACAAGAAGCCTAAATCTCGCCACATGCAGTTGGTTATACCACGTTCCCGTAAATGCTATATGGCCTTGTCAAAAAAGCATAGTTACATTCCATTGGTCAAGTGTGCGCCTGTGGTATTTCAAAGTCCAGAAAATGAATGTAACTAAACATAGCATTTAGAACTGTTTCTGTGTCTTTTTTGAAATGTCACATTTTCCCTGTAAGCCTCAGTGGTCATGGGGTACTAAAGTCCAAAAGTGGACAACCAACCAGAACTTTCTACCAGTGTTTACAGCCAGGTAATGCCAAGAAGGCGAGATCATGGGTCGTGGCAGAAGTCCTCAGATACTTTTGTTTTTTTATGTGTCCTGTTGAATATCTTCCATTTAAATCTTACTGTTTATTAATTGTCACTTTATATATCTTTGTATATATATTTTGAAATTTTTTTTTTTTAAATTTAGATTATTTTTCAATAATTTATTAGTCACAATTTTCTTTTTTTTAAAGGATTTCTCCATAAATTCCAACAGGTTCATGACACATTTTGTTAAGCATTCTCGAGGCAAAAGGGTTAATGTTTTTTTTCTTTAATTTGATTTCCATCTTTGTCAAGTTTTGTTGTGGTTGTTTTCTTGTTTCCTAATGCAGGCTTGTTTTTATATCATCCTTTTGTGTGTGTGTGTGTGTGTGTTTATGTGTCATTATAAAAGTGTACGGCTGACCTAGATTTCACATTTTCAATATGGAAGAATGGACTAGCTAATTAGGGCAGCTTTGAAGCTTAGAGGTGAGAGAACACCTTTCACAATCTATGACATACCAGGGTTCAGTTTCCTCAAATGACAGTTTAGAAAACAAGCATTCTCTTGATGTTTGGGCAATGGTTGAAGAGTTTCCCTATGAACCAGAGCATTGACGAAGTCTGGCTCGTAAACTAGTTTACGTGTCGGGAACTAAAATACTTTGACCATATGAAATGCAGTAGTGGTTCAGAAATAACTGTAATAGAAGGCGTTGTTCCTACCATAACAGACGGTTCTACCAGCTCGAAGGTGATAATAGGATTTTAGGGACACCTTGGGTATGAAAATATATATAAATCAGAGGAATTGGCAAGGGATTTGGTGGTTTTCTGACGGTCTATTATAGGAGCAACTTAGTGCTCTAGTGGTGGCACTCATTGACCCCAGGGATCATAGTAACACTTGCACTCATAAACGAAAGGACATTGTTCGAAGTCAAGGACTCTTTCCCCTGTCCTTCAGATCGGGATGTAAATAACTTGACTACTACACCATGTAGCCCCCGGTGTGAGATCTATTATGGGGGGGGGGGGGGGTGCTGAATCCCACTTGGCAGTGCACCAGAACCAGGGCTCATTCTGGTCACGATCTAACTACTCCTCTCTGTGGTCTTAAAACTGGTTCCCTACTGGGGGTCTGGCTAACATAGGATCAATGTTTCCTTCAAAGTCAGAATGTATCCGTTTGAGAGGCAAGGAACCAACAGTTTGCACACACGTAATCTCGATCTGTAGTACGGATGTGCATGTAACACGCAGATCCTAAAGCAAAATTAAAGTCCAGAAGTGGACGAACAGCCAAGACTTTAATCTGGAGTTTACAGCTGGTAAATAAGAATGAGAAGATACATCTGACAGAGTAAACCGGTATCTTCATCAAAGGTACAGAAGGAGCCCGCAACCTCAAAGCAAGGTTCGAACAGTTAGCCAAAAGTGGAGACGATGAAGCAAAGAAGAAAGCACAGGAGGAACGGCAGAAGAGAGAAGCCAGAGAAAAGAAGGAAAGAGAAGAGCAAGAAAGATTAAGAAAGGTAAATTATGGGTGAAAATGTATGAATGTGTTTCTTGAAAAGCATAAATCTTCTTCATCATCGTTCCTTTGAGTGACATAATTGCATTTGTGCTGTTTACATCATAGCTTTGATGTTTGCACCTTTCGGTCGACACATCAGGCTTCTTAGAGCATTTGTTCTCCGGGTTAGCCTTCCTGATTCGTTTTGTGGTACATTTTTAGTCTGATATATTTGGTGAGTTTGTCATCCGCTGATCCGCACTTGTTGACCCTAGAGGTCCCATCCAGGGCAGCTTGGTCGACCCTCAAGGGAAGAAAATAGGTATTCCCTGCCATCCAAGAAGACTTGCATAAATGCAGATCTGATACTGGACACACCCAAGGAATTGTCAGGTGCTGCACACGACTGCCTAACCTCACATCCATATATTGAACCTTCCACTCATTACAGGCTGCACCATTTTGGGATCCCAAGGAAGTTATGTTATCACAATCGACGTCTTTGCACATTGGGCATCCCCATGCATGCTCAGTCCTCCGATGCAGCAGCCACTCCAAGGTACCTCTACTAATTGTTCCCATGAGGAGCTGGTTATAGTATTTCCTGTCTTTACCTCGAAGACGACATAGAAGAGCTTCACCAAGCTTAACTCCTCGGTCCCGCTGTAGTGTTAGCATCAGAGATTGGTTGTTATCCCCCAACTTAGTCCGTACAGAGTTGATGATATCCGCTCTGTCCGTGCTTCTTCCCGTTTGCATTGGTGCCTTACTTGCCAGCTGGTCAGCTGTTTCATTACCATGTACTCCTGCCTGCCCAGGTGTGTAGATCCAGATGATGAAGGTTAACTGTGACTTTTAAATGCTTTCTACCCATTCAAAGTGTAGACTTGCTGTAGCGATTTTCTGAAGCATGTTTGTAGAGTCTGAAATGATTACCACAAATTTGGTGGCTTGTTCTGCTACCCATGCCAGTGCTCTGGGAGCAGCAGTTATCTCCAAGGTCATGCTTGTCGAAGTTGTCTGGTGAGCACCGCTATCCTCTTGTATTGTTTTCCCCATCCTTTGTGCTGTGTGTGCCCATGCTGATCTTGACCCAGGCTTCACGGGCCCATCGGTGTAAATGAGGACATCTTCTGGGCATGAGTGCTCATCAATCAGTGCTCTAATCTCGGCGTCTTCAATGGCTGGTTTCTGACTCCTGCAGTACCTTCCAAGTGTTATGACAACCTTAGACAAGTCCTGCATGTCTACTGGTGTATCCGTCACATGGAAGTAGTCTGCAGTTCTGAGATTCCAGTTTCCTGCACTTGTGGGTATCTTACTTCCCCAGCATCTGTTTTAATAAGTTTTGAAACTGATGATCATCCAAACATTTCTCAGATTTCTTTGTTATTTAATGTTCATCAGTGTCAGGCATTTGTTTGACTGTATTACATAATATTCTGTTATTTACATCCCAGTCTGCCTATAGTCTGCCAGCTAGTCAATCAGTATATGCTTTCGCTTTCTTTTCTTGTGCAACTTTTTATTTGCTCTGCCATTATGCCACAGTGAAGCATAGGCTTCAACCTATTCATACTGTTGTCCTGTCTTTAGCTATCACATATATTTTACCTGAAGTTTGTCCCCATTTTTTCCACTGCACATTCTAATTATTTTTCCCGTGGTTTTTTTTTTGGGGGGGGGGGGGGGGGGGGTTTTCACTTTTATACCTTTGTCAACATTTGTGGCTCAGGCTTTGCGAACACACTTCATAATTGTGAGGTACACAGTTTAATTCCAGCTGCTGGTGATTTGGCAGTAGACCGCCTTGTGTTGATTTTGACAGGGGTGTCGAGAGCCGATGTACAGAAAGCAGTGGCAAACTGCTTGTAAATGTACACTGAATGTCTAGTATAATCCCCAAACAGCCAACTAATGCCAGGGTTGGTTCTGCAGTATCCTCTAAATGATACATAGTTAACTTATTCACTTGATTCTGTAAACCATGTTAGTTACAATTGCTTGTGCTGGTGTTTTAACACTGCATATGGTAAAAATAGGGTCAAGGACACTTTTTCTTTCATTGGTCTACCATGCATATGTTTCAACAAACAAACAGAAAGTTTTAGGTGTGTGATGTCAAACAGCATATTTTTTATATAGTCGCCATTATAGCTGCTGTCTTTACCTATTACCCTTTTAAATTGAGTCGACCTAGGAGCCAAGATCATTTAAAAAAAAAATCAGATTCAATGCGGATTTGAACCCAAGACCTTTGAACTGGAAGAAAGCATCTTGCCATCATGGCTGTCACTGTGCATATGGTGCTAGACTAATATATATTTTTTAGACTTTTATTCTGCCTTTGTCAAAAAAAAATGTTCCTCCCTCCTGCTGTAGAAACCTGTATTTGCTTGTTATTGTTTTCAGGAAATATAACGTCCTTTTTGTCTTGTTTATTTACCCTTAAAAGTGCGGTTGGCACATATTTTTTCTTTTGCCTTTCTAGTCCTCAATAGAGCATAGGTCCTCAACCAACTCATGCTAAGTCGTTCTATCCTTTGCTATCGCATACAGCTCTCCCCTTGTCCTTCCCATCTTTCTTACTTCATTCTCCAGCTCCCTTCTCCATGTGTTTTTTGGCCTTCCTTTATTCCTATGCCCCTGTAGGTTCCAGTACAAAGACATTCTAGTTACATTGTTCTCTGGTTTTCTCAATGTGTGTCCTATCCAATGCCAGCGTCTTTTCTTCACCTCTTGGTTCACTGGAGCTTGCTTAAATTTCTCCCAAAGCTCTATATTAGTGATTCTATCATACCATATAATTCCCTCTATTCTGCCCAGGCAGCAGTTAATGAATGTCTGGAGTTTATTATTAATTGCCTTAGTTGTTCTCAATGTTTCCGCATTATACAAAAGTACAGATTTGACATCAGAATTTAAAAAAATTAAGTTTAGTATTTCTTTTAATTTCTTTTGACCTCCACAAATTCCCTAGTTTTGTGAAAGCACCTCTTGCCTTTTGAATTCTGATTTTAATATCTCTATCAGTTTCCCCATCTTTATCTACATTACTGCCAAATAAGTGTACGACTCTACGTCTTGGGGTGGGGTGCTATTAGGAGAACATATTGTTGCGGTTTACTGCTAGGCTGCATTATTCGTACATTATTGCCTGAAACATCCGATTATTAAGGAGCAGTATGTGTACACCCCCCCCCCCCCCCCACATGGAGTCCCAGAAATGCAAAGGGAATATAATTTAATTTGTGTTTGTTGTTTGTATATGTTGAACTAATCAGATTTCTCATTCCTGTGTCTGGCTTTCGGTATTAGGAGAGGTTAGAAAAAGAAAGATGGGAGGAAGAACAACAAAAACAAGTTTACCAAGATGAACCAGAATACGACACAGAAGGGCAGTACAATGAACCGAATCCGGAGCCAGAACCGGTCCGAGCACCACCCCGCCAGCCAGAACCAGAGCCGGAACCAGACAACACTTATTACCAGCCTGCGGAAACTGAGGACCAGCCTGCTTCAGAACCTTATGAAGACCAGCAAGCAGACGACCAGACATCACCAACACGTGGAAGTGGCTTGACAGCTATTGCCCTCTACGATTACCAAGCCAGTAAGTTTGTTCACTTTATTTCTGTGCTCTGTTTAATTTTTCAAATACTTTGTTTATGATCGATCATGTTAATCATATTATGTAATGCCGATAAGTGTAGTTGATTGTGGTTTACCGTCTCTCCTTCTTCATCCCAGACAAACAAGTTATTTGAGTGTGTTTTTATCTAAAATAACAAGGCTTGTGTAGTGCTATGGTTTTTTTTTTTTAACAATCTTTTTTATTTACCTTCAGTCCTGGTATTGCCAACATCACAGAAACTTCAATAAGCTTTTGTTAAATTTTAATTTGTTTTATTTGTTTAGATAAAAAAAAAAAAAAAAAACTCATTTAGTGTTGTTAAAAACAATGTCTACTATTCATCCATCATGGACAACATATTTTATTAACACTAGCCATATATATATACACACACACACACTCACCTGGGTAGAGTGAAAGCTGTATGCTAGATTTATTGTTGTTATTGTTAATCCTTCCATATTGGATGGTTGCTGGCACTGTGTTCCACTGAAAAAGCTAAATTATTTTATTTTTGCAGCTGATGATGATGAATTAACCTTTGACCCTGAGGAGGTCATAACAGATATTGAAATGGTGAGTAGAAAATACCTATGTGTATGTACATATGTGGATATTTATGTGGTAGCCATGTTTAGCAAAGTAGCTAGGTGCTCATCTTGGGTTCGAATCTGCATCCATCCGATTTTTTTCTTCAAAATTGACCACAACTTCCAGGTCAGTCCTGCCTAAAATGGGCACCAGGAAATGTCCTGGGTAGTAATAGTGGCCACTAGTTTCACATCACACATGGAATGCTGACTGGTCTATACAAATATCAGTCTAGCATCCTATGGCAGATTTTAAAAAAAGGTGCCTTACTTGTGGTTAAATGTATTTGTCGTACCTTTGTGTTTGTATTTGGTATTCATATTTACTATATTACTAAATGAACTTTTCATGCTTTATGCATAAAATACAAAAAGCTTTGTGAAAGATGAGGGGTTGGAATGGCTGAATACAAGACAGACTTCTTCACTTCCTCTTTTTCTGTTTCTGGTGTCAAGGGAGATATAAAGTTCTGCTTCTTGCTATTCTGGTCGCCTCATCCATGGACACATTATGCTGTTGTAGAGTTTCTTTAATGTTATCTTTCTGTGCTGCTCTTGATCTGCTGTGTGCCCTCTGTTCTTCTCCTCTTTTAGTGCATGCCTTGTATGGTGTGCCATCACAAGGCATTCTCTCTAAGTTGGCAAACCATATGATTTGCTGTCTTTGCATGTAATTTAGAATTGGTTTTGTGCTAGTTTTTGTTTTCTCTCTCATGACCAGATTCCAGATATTATGTCTTGTGTCAAATTTGTGAGTGATTTTTGTTTTTGTTCATTTTCTGCACACATTATTTATTCCTCCACTGCTTGCTCAAAAATGCTTTCATTTTGGCTTCCATTTGGGTGAAAATGTCTGTTTATAATTGGTAATGATCATTTAAAGTTCATTACGTCAGTTGAAACTTCCACTACTTTCAGCACACGGGTTATCAGGAGTCCTCATCAACATCATGTGCCTTGTTCCCCATGAGAATTTCTGGGTCCATGGTGGGGAGAAAAAGAATGGACCCGCTGCCTCCTAATAAGCTTATTGTACACTAATTATGAGTGTTATCTACAAGTCAGTGTCCATCTCCCTTAGGGGCAAGGAACCAACAGTCTTCTTACCAATATGTGAGACCTGTAAAACGAATGTGCATATAAAATTCAGATCATGGGAGAAGACTAAAGTCCAGAAGTGGATAAATAGCCAGGACTTTCCACCAGAGTTTATAGCTGGTGATTGCGCAGAAGAAGAAGAAGAAGTGCCATGTGAGGTGACCTGCACATTGACATCTCACAGTGTTCTGGATTAATTCCCTTGATGATATACCTCCATATTGCCATCTGAAACCATCTGGCATCATTTCTCTCTGTCTTGCCTCTCATCTTTTCAATTTGACACAATTTTTCCAGTGCCTCTGTTTTTAGTGCATGACCAAAGAGCTACAGTCTGTTTCCTTATAGTCAAGTATAATCATCACACTTTTGTGCATTTATGTGTCACAGAGGGTTCACAGTCTATTGTTATTCTTTTATGTTCTATCCTGGGTAGTTGTTTCAGTATCACAGATGCAGTCCAGTCCAGCACCTTTGGTCTCTGTCATCAGTGTTCCTCTTAGGGTTTCTTTCCTTTGTTCTTGTGTCCTCAGTCCATTTTATTTCCCATTCAATTGCCTTTTGGTGATTCAGTGTTCGCTTCTCAGGAAGTGCCCAATAAATCACAATCTTCTTTGTTTCATAAATGTTGACACCAGCGGTTGAGCAGAAATTTCTCTTTTTTTTCCCCCTTCATTCTATTTAATTTTCGTCAGTTTTATTTGTGAATGCACTCCCCTGTAGTATTCTGCTTTCACAAACTGTTTTCTGGTAGTTGTTAAATTACTCTGGCCAAGGTCTTCTAATAATCATCCCAGAAACTGCATATTAACTAACTTTAAGTGAAAAATTATTGTTTCCCCAGGTTGATGATGGCTGGTGGAGAGGTCAGTGTCGTGGTGTCACGGGATTGTTTCCTGCCAACTACGTAGAGTTGCAGCAGTAGCATTGCGCTGAAAATGCTTTGAGAGTCAGATTTGTGTGTGTGGCATGAATGGACCAGGTTGCTGTCCAATTGGGCAGCTCAGCAGCATGCATTAAAAACATTATTTGTATTATTATTATTATTAAGCTTCTTCTTAAAACATAGCTCACAATTGAAAAAATCTGGCCTATGCATTTTTTCATAGTTATTATTTACCCAAATGGCTCAGTTGTGAGAGGAAAAGAGAGTATATAAGGTTTCACTGCAGAGGTGAATCAACACTAAAATTAACAGTGAGCCTCATGTAAAGTGTCAGCACATCTAGCATGAGAATGAGGTGGAGGGATTAATGGAAGCGCTCCGATGACTAGAGAATGTAGTCCTGGTATGTAGTAATTGTAACACACAGGAAATCTCTGTTACGATTTTCCTCTCATTAGTTTTAGTAAGGGTCCATGTTTGACACTGGTAGCATATCAGCCCAAAAATAGTTCTTTTGACATTTGCCTTGGCAGACAAAGGTATACTTCTTGTGTGTCAAAAGATAGTACTAATGTTCGGCAAGTTACATTTGATTTTTAAAAAAAATGGTTTGTGCCTTTTTTCTTCAAATTATGAATTGTTTTTATGCTTTGTCATTCCATTCATGACCGATACTGCCAACGTTGCAATTGTTTGGCCACATGTTATCATCTGCTTGAGTGTGATGATATCTACAATTGATGTCAGGTTTGCTTAAAGCTGATGCTATGTTAGCATAAAGTTCATATCATGTTTGCATGTACCATTTTGCTGTGGATACCCTTTGAGGAAAAAAGCTCTGAACCAAAAAAATTTCTATATTAACGATCATTTTACATGGTTCACTAATAAATAAATAAAATTATTTACATCTTAGCAGTTTTTTTTAAATTTTTGTTTTAGAAATATATAAATGAAAAAAATCAGTAAACACTGACAGAGTGAAGAATTAAATTATTATTACTCACTTGCACCTAACAGATAATGTGCACACGGACTCATACCCTGACATCATTGCTAAGCCATCTACTAAAGGCTAGGAGAGAATTATGATGTCATTATAACTTGAAAAAGCTCCCCCCGTTTTAGTAAATATAATAATATCTGGCCCTCCATCAACACTGCGCAGGCGCTAACAGAACAAATACCATTTACTAGACTTGTCAGGGACTGGCTGATGCAGAAATGCCAGTTTAGCACCCTTTACAGGGATTTGATACAGATGGCTACGCAGGATTAGTGGCATCTTGGAGCCAAAGTGTTACGTTGGTACAACATAAAGCTGAAGGCCATGTCCGCATAAAGCTAATGCCATAAAGCAGTTAATAAAACTGTTGTCTTTTTAGCATTAAACTGGCATAAAACCGATACCACAGTGCTGATGTCATGCCAGCTAGAATTTGACATCATGTTTGCATAAAGTTGATGGTAACCGCATCACAAAGTTGATGTAATCATGCAATTTTTCATATTGCCCATGCACTCATTATAACCAGCAACGTATTACATTACATCCATGGCAATATTGTACTGTCATTATTCATGTCTTTGTGTACATATAAATATATATTTTATACATTAATTTCAGTTCATTGACACTGCTTTTATGACTCTGGGGGACGTGGGATTCAGGCTTTATTTCTATAATCAAATAAGCAGGTTCTGGAGAGGTAGGGAAGGAAACAGAAAATGAGCACAATGCAAATAAAATATTCTGGCTACAGTAAAAGACACTTTTATGAAAACTGTACTGTATGTGAGGACTAATTGTAGGTGAACAATAGGTAGACAAGTGATACAGGTGAGAAGAACATCAAGAAATAGACAAACAGCAGCCTGGCAGAGTGTTGGAGGTGGTGCAGCCAACGGTCATTATGGAGGTATTTAAAGTAAGCATAGGACCCTTTTTACTCTACTGACACCTTGAGCATATCCAAGCCTCACATTTGTATAGACCACTCAGTGGGTGATGTGATCAACATTCACACCGGCTGCCTTTACTTTCCAAGATTTTACCATTTTAGGCTGGGTTTACCTTGTAGCCAAAAGGAGTTAACCCGCAGCCTGTGGGTGCAGTCACTCAGTCAGCCTGCAAGGCAACACAAGATTTGAGTGTCTCAAGTCTAGTTTTTGTCCACTGACTGGTCACTTGGGGGAAACACTGCCAATATATACTGTGCGCTGTATATCCAGTTACTGAACTGTTGTGGGTGCAAAAGAAGATCTTCTACAGATCACAGAAGAAGAAAAAATGCACCAAACGTGAAGAATATCCTTTTGATCTTGACAACAAACACAGAAAAAGTTGTGCTGCAGTACTCACTTTTGTCTTTGATAAGAGTGTATACATTAAAATTTGTGAACACATAACCTTAGAATTATTGTTTTTATTTTTTGTTGTTGCTTGTAAGCTAACGATTATTTATTGTTTTAGGGAAGTATCTATCAGGACTCAGTTACAGTTGGCAGATTCTCTGCTATCATATTCTTGGGTAGCTGATTTATATTGTTGTGGCTAGTCAGTATTTTCTCTGTACACTTGTGGGTAGTAGTCCCATACTTTCTGTGTGTGTACAATTGCAGATAGTCCCATATATTCTATGTTGTTACACTTGTGGGTAGTCAATATATATTCTGTTGTTACACTTGTGCGCAGTCCATAAATTCTCTGTTGTTACATTTGTGCGCAGTCCATATATTCTTTGTTGTTACACTTGTGCGTAGTCCATATATTCTCTGTTGTTACACTTGTGGGCAGATGTATTCTCTGCTGCTACAATTGTGAATAGTTGATATATTCTCTGTTGTTACACTTGTGCGCAGTCCATATATTCTCTGTTGTTACACTTGTGCACAGTCCATATATTCTCTGTTGTTACACTTGTGCACAGTCCATATATTCTCTGTTGTTATGTTGTTACTGATGAAATTTCAGTAGAAGAATTAGAAGTACTGGGGGAATATGGGATAGAAATATTAACTAAACTGTTGAATGACATTTATAACACTGGGTACATACCAAGTGATATGATAAAATCTGTATTTATTGCGCTACCCAAAAGACCAGGAGCGGTTGAATGTGAAGAATTTTGTACAATCAACTTAATAAATCATGTCACCAAATTACTACTTAGAATTATAATGAGAACAAAAAGAAAAATAAGAATGGAAATGAGTGAAGAGCAGTATGGATTTATTGAAAGGTAAAGGGACAAGTAATGCAATATACATATTACGAACACTGATAGAAAAGATCAATGGACATACAAAAGGACTTATATTTGTGCTTTATAGATTATACCAAAGCATTTGACAAAGTTAAACATGAATAGAGGAACATCGAAGAATAGAGTGGGTTTCCTGGTACATTCGGACATATCTAACTACATATTAGACATACATTATCACTCAGATAGAATTATTACTTTGAAAATTAAAGGAGGAGAACAAGCTGAAACATATATACAGATATATGCACCATGCAATGATAATTATACAGAGGAGCAGAAAGATGAATTCTTTGACGATCTGTCTGATGAGATAAAGAAAGTTGAGAGAAGCAGCATACTATATGTAATGGGTGACTTCAACGGGACGGTCGGAAATAACAGAAGAGAATACGAACAGTTTTTAGGTCCACATGCAGCTAAGAACAGTGCTAGAAAGGAAATGGTCAAAGAATATTGGATCTTTGCAGCCAGCACATTCTTTTTATTACGAACACATTCTTTGACCATAGAGATTCACAACTTTACACTTGGTACAAATGGAATGATGTCTCCATCAAGAGTCAGATTGACTTTATACTTACCAGAGTTCAAGGAAGAAGGAGAATTCTTGATTCAAGAGCAATCCCTAATGGTCTATGTGACATTGACCATAAAATAGTTGTGTTAACAGCAAAACATCTTACATTAAAGAAACACAGAAAGAAATTAAACAAAAACAAGGATCTCATCAAGATAGCAAATCTGAAACAGGAAGGAGTAAAAGAACAGTTACAACAGAAAGTAGAGACAGCATTCAAACAACTTCCACATGTAGTTGGCAATATTGAGGAAGGATGGAGTAAATATAAAAACACTATGCTTAGTATTGCAGAAGAATTATGTGGAAAACAGAAGAGTGGAAACAGACGGGGAAATAACAAATATTCACCTTGGTGGTGCGAAGAAGTAAAAGAAGCAATTAAAAAGAAAAAAGACATATAATAGTGGATAAAATCAAAGAAAGAAGAAGATTATATAAACTATAGACTGCAAAGGAGAGAAACCAACAGGAGTGTCAAGAAAGCAAAACAAGCATTCTGGGAACGTTTCAGTGAGTCACTAGCAGAAAATGAGAAAACAGCCAGCAGAAAATTTTTCAAAGTAGTTAAAAATATGCGGAAAAGAGATGAGAGCTACAACCCCACTGAAATAATTAATGATAAGACAGGAAGGCCATTGATAGATCCACCCGAGAGAGCAGAAAGATGGAGGGAATACTTCAATGAGCTCTTTAATCCTCTAGGAGATAATCAGGAAAGAACAACTGAAGAGCACAGAGCAACAGTGTTAGAACCACACATACTAATGAATGAAATAGAAAAAGTCATTTACAGTCTCCCAAATATAAAGCACCAGGAGCTGATAGATTACCAACAGAAATAATTCAAGCAGCAGGTGAAAGCAGCATCAGATGGCTTCACAGAATATTCAATGCAGCATGGGTACAACAAACGGCCCCTATTGATTGGCAACATGCAATAGTTATACCATTGTGGAAGAACAAAGGAAGCAAACGAGAATGCGGTCAATATCGAGGCATCTCTCTTTTAAGCCATGTTGGCAAAATGTATGCCAAGATAATAGAAACAAGACTGAGACCAGTGATAGCACCACAGCTGGCAGAAGAACAGATGGGATTTAGGAGAAATAGAAGCTGCACAGATGCAATCTTCACACTTAAACAGTTAATAGAAAAGAACATTGAATACAATAAGAACTTATTTGTGGCAT